AACAATGTCGGTTTACAAGTGCGTGCACACACATAAGAACATGCACGAGTCTGTGCCCCTGAAAAGTAGGGTGTGGAGCTACATGATGTAGACTTCACAAGGCTGACCCACCGGCCACGTGGTCTGGAACTCTGGCCCTTACAGCTAGGAAGGTTGCTTGCAGAGTGTGCATTAGACTCCATCCAATGGGAGAAACAACGACAGCACCCAGGGCAGCTTTCCTGAGGAAAGGGATCCCTGGACACCCCCACGGGTTCCTCTAAAGCCATCAGTCCTAAGCCCTGCATCCAGTCAGGCCTCCAAGTAGGTCTCAGTCACTTCTGAAGTCACCCTTCCAGAGTGCCCAAAGCATCTAATAAAACTTTCACCTTGGGATCCTATCTTCCGTCCAGGTGGGCAGTGACCCTGCACCTAAGAAAATAGATTTCTTGTGTGTGTGTGTGAGCTGTGAGGTCTCCCCCTAATCCCTGCTCCCCCGAGTTGTCCATATCCACACACCCCCTGCTATTACCTCAGTGGAAGTTCCCCTGCGGATGATCTCAGACTCTCGCTCCTGATACCCTCTCCCTCCAGGAGGAGCGCTGTCCTGACTGCCTCCTGGAGAGTGTGGCCCACAAAGCTGGGGGGTCTTAGAGAAGTCCTTTCCCATCCCTGGCCTCAGTTCCCCCAACTGTCAGTGAGGGCCGGGTCCGGGTGGTCCTGTGAGGCCCTTTGTGCTCACTGAAGTCCTGCAGGGGGCTGGTGCGGCGTGGGACCTCTCTTGGAGAAACTCAGAAGAAGAGACTTCCTCCCCCTCCTTCTAGCAGGCTTCCCTCCTTAACAGGCCACTAGGGAAGGCAGTTGGGCTCCCAGGGCTCCAAGAGGGGCAGGAGGAAGTTTTCACTCCAGCATCATTAAAAGTTCAAGTGGCTTTCCCTGGGGAAGCTGAAAGTCCCAGGGTTCATTAGACCCGCAGTCCCCTGGGCCCAATTTGGTTGGAGGAATGTTTGGCATTTTATTCCAGAGAAAGTTTTCACTAAGGGTTTGAGGCCTCCTTGTGAGAGAGCTCATCTCCCATGGAGGTCAGAGAGGAAAGGTCTCTGGAGGTCAACCTCTTGCTTTGACACTTTTCCAGAGGAAGAAGCAGGCTGGATGAGGGAAGGGGCTTGCCACATGGAACCAGCCTTGCCAGCTGCTGGAACATTCTTCCAGGTGGCAGGGAAGTGAGCACACAGGAAGGAGAAGAGAGAAAAGGGCGGGGGGACTCAGCAGGGAGGGCTGCTGGGTACCAGTGGTCTCCGGGATGCAGGCACAGAAGAGCAGTTGTGGGGAGGCCCTGTGTGAGGAGGAGCTTTGAGAACAGCCTGGCAAGCCCACCACAGGAAGGACTGCCCAGGCAGACAGAGGGCGCCCACTCTGAAGAGTGTGAGTCCAATGAATGAACAGAGGGGAGTTGGGACTAGTGGGGGGAGAGGAGCCTGCAACCGCTCAGGTCCTGTCCGCTCTGTAAATTCTCTGCCAGCAGGAATAGCATGTCCAGGCTTCTGGGCAGGGAGGGTGAAAGGGGGAACAAGGAGCCTGCCTTTTATGGCAAGTTGAGATTGTGGAACTGGAAACCAGGAGGCCGGGACTGGGGCCTGGCCTCTCTGGGTTCAGCAGCCTCTTTCCCGCCTCCTGCAGTCGTGAGCTAATGATCCTCTTGGTTCCCAGGCCCAGCAGCACCGAGGACCTAGAGACAGTTGTTTAGCTTCCCTGAATGAGGATAATCTGCCTGTGGTGCCTCACAGAGGTCCTGAGTGTGGGACAGTTTATTTGACATGACCCGATGTGGAGAGCAGGGCCAACGGAGTGGCACTGGTCCAGTCAAGATAGGATGGAATGCATAAAACAAAGTGGAGCCGCTCACGTCAACCAAGATGGCTGACTGGCAGCCATGACACTTTGGTTCAAGAGGGAAGCTGCTTACGTCACACTGGACACAGCTGGCACGGAGACACACCTAAGTCTGTGCATGCCACCAGAGCAGCCGCATCAGCAGAGTGGGACCACCCACAGATAGGCTCCTGGGGAAACTCCCCACTTGCTGTCAGGGGTGCCTAGACACTTGCCAAAAGACCCATGGGGTGGAGTGCTCCACTCCCAAGGTAAAAGTGAGGCCAGCTCCAGACCACTGCTGAGACAGCCGAGCTCCACTCACCAGAGCGCTCCTCCACGCCATGCCGATCTCCCTGGGCATCGGCCGCGGAGGCCCTGCTCTGCTTCGCCTGCCCTGCCACCTGCCCACCTGGCTCAGGAGGTTCTCCCTCGTAAGATGCTGATGGCCCCCTTGCCCACAGTGCTGTCTCCCGGACCCACAGACTGGGACTCTGGGACTCAGGTTCATTGTCCCCCAACTCTCATGCGGTATCATCACTGATTGTGTCTGAGTGGTTGGTATTATCATCAGATTGGGACAGATTTGGGCTAAATCTGCATTAGGAAAGCTGAGTGGCCCTGCATGAATAAAGTCTGAGTGAACGGCACAGTCACCTGTGTGGGCCCCCTGTTATTTCTCGGTGCCGGTGTCACCTGTGGGATTGGTGATCATACAGGTGGCTCAGCGCCTTTGGTTCTTAAGGCCCCGGTCAGATGATCATAGCGGGGACCAAAGGCTGGCTTGTAGGAAAGCCTGTATCTCGAACTCCAGACCCCTGCCTCAGTCCCGAGCACTCTGTGGCCTGCAGGACAGGGAGCCACAGACTCTCAGATGAAAGTTCTCTTGAGGCACCCAGTTCAAACTCTGTTGCAGTGATATCGATGGAAAACACATGTCAGAAACTGGTTTCCTTGCTTTCTAAATCTTAGCTCCTTGAATCCTCAGACAACCCTGTGAGGGAAGGTGTTCTCACTGGCCATTTTATAGATGAGGAAATAGGCACAGAGAGGTTAGGTGACCTTATGCACAATCACAGAGCTTGTGAGTCGTGAGTCATGTGGTTTCAGAACCCATGTTCTTTTTTTTTCTCTTTAAAGATTTTATTTATTTTTAGAGAGGGGAAAGGGAGGGAGAAAGAGAGGGAGAGAAACATCAGTGTGTGGTTGCCTCTCATGTGCCCCCTACTGGGGTCTTGGCTAGCAACCCGGGCATGTGCCCTGACTGGGAATTACTGGCAACCCTTTGGTTTGCAGGCCAGTGCTCAAGCCACTGAGCCACACCAGCCTGGGTCAGCACCCACGTTCTTAATCATTGTGTTTTACTGTCCCTAAAAGAGGGGGAGCTGAGGCCCAGGGAGTGGGAGGGGCCGCCCGTCACTTGACCTGTGGCAGGCAGGGCAGGCATGGAGGCCCCTCTGTCTCCAGCCTCAGGGCTGTGCCCTCCACAGCCCCCCGCCTGACAGTCTTCCGTCCCCACTCAGCCTCCCCGGGGCCTCCCTAGAGTTAACAGTCGCCTGGTCTCACCCTTGGCCTGCAGCTCCAGCCCAGAAGGCTGAGTCCACATTTCCTGGCGGCTCTCCAGCCTGCGGGAGCTGAGACAACAAAGTGCAGTTACTGTGAGGGCTGAGCAGAGGCTGCCGAAGGGGAGGAAGCAGCAGGAGCCGAGGAGCAGAGGGGCCGATCCAGCTCTCAGATGCTGGGCCTCCTGGGGAGCACCACGCTCGTGGGCTTGGTCGCAGGTGCCGCTGTGGCCGTGCTGCTGCTGCTGCTGCTGCTGGCCACCTGTCTGCATGGCGGGCAGCAGGACCCTGACGTGGAGAGGAACCGTCCAGCTGTAAGGAGAAACCGAGTTCGGCGGGCCCGGCCTTGGTTCTTCCCGGGCCGGGGCCACCTGGGACACTTTCACCATCACCATCATCTTGGCCACGGGCCTCACGCGCACCACGCAGGCCCCCATCACCACCTCCACCACCACCACCTCCACAAGGCCCGCTTCCACGCCCACCGAGGCCACCGCTGATGCCTGTGGATGGCAGCCTCTGCCTGCCCTACCATCTGCAGGACGAGCAGACCCCCCTGTTCCCGTGCAGAAAGGCACCTCTCTGTGGTGAACCCAGGGGACTGCGCCTGGGTCTTGCTTGGGCTTCATTTGCATACAGTGCTGCAATGAACCACAGAGGCAGAGGACAGAGGAACACCTGAGGTGGCCCTGTGCATTGCTGCAGGGTGAGGAGGGTGAGGGCGGGGGTGATCTTTTGGGAAGGACATCACCTTGTGACTGTAATTCCCAGCGGGCATCCAAAGGGCACTGCTAAGCTCTGATGTGTGAAAGACGCACCTTGCTCCCTCTGAAGGGCTCCTCCTCTGACGACCTTGGTCTTGGGGTGGGGGCCTGGCTGGGAGGGGCCCTGGCAATGCCCTTTTGTGTGGAGAAGGCAGTAGGAGGCTGCACAGTTAATTCACTGGTGCCTTACTATCAAAAACATAAAAATAAAAACCACCAAGAAGCTTTGTTAAGAGGCTCTTGATTGTAACTCAAGTGGGAGGGCAGGAGCGGCCAGGCTCCTGTCTGCATTGCGTGGGACCTCCTTCTTGGATGGGAAGTGAGTGCCTGGAGTGGCTTCTGCCTGGGGCTGCAGGCTGGCTGTGCAGACAGGGGGACTGGGCGGGCTCCGCAGTGCCCTGTGGAGAGCAGGTGAGGGGGTTGCAGGACCTGAGTTCTGAGGGCCCGTGTGCAGGCCTGTGCAGAGGGGACTCTCTGTGTACCAGTGGGGCTCTGTGGGATAGCCTAGCGCTCAGAGAGAGGAGAGGTGAGGTCACCCACCCTGGTCCCCAGGTCTCTCCCTCCCCTCTCTTTCCAGCCCATCTTCAGGGCAGGCTGTGCTCTGGGACCTGCAGAAGCCCCGCTCTGCAGAGCAGGCTGTGTCGAATGCGATGTTTCTTTGGTAACTGGGTCAGGGTTTCTTATCCAAACCTTGAGTCCCCAGCCAGCCTGCCCTCCTGGTGCTTGTGTGTGGCAATAGGGTTGGGAGGGAAGGGCGGTTCTCTAAACTGGGGAACATGGTCCTGGGTGGCCTCGGAAAGTGCTTGCCTCCTCGGGGTCTCAGTGTCCTCTTCCTTGAAATGAAACAGGTAACGGAGACTCCTTCTTTGCCAAAGCTGGAGGCATGTTCCCAAACACCCCAGGAATAGCTGGGGGAACTTCGCAGGGAGGAAGGAACTCTTGTTCTGAGGCCTGCAGCCTGTGCCTGTGAGCTGGGGTGGGAAGTGGAGGGAGGAGAGGCCCGGGGCCTGGTGAGGTGGTGGGGAGGGGCCTGAGACACAGCCAGAAAGTCAAGGGCCTGCTGACTCACTGGAACAGAACGTCCTGTTTCTTTTCTGCTTCCTGACGGATTCTCTGTGAGTGCGTGGGTCGGGGGTGAGGGGGAAAGAGAGACAGACGCACACGGACAGCCACACTGGATTTCTGGGTTGGGAAAGTGGACCAAGAGTTGCCTCGAGTTGTTGATTTCACCTCTGAGCGTCCTTCCAATCCGCCTCCCCTCCCCCACCCCACTGTCCACCCTAAGCTCCTCCCCCAGCCTGGATCCCTGTCACAGTCCTACCGAGTGTGCCTGGCTCCAGCCCGGCCCCTTTGTGAAGCATCTTCCTGCTGCAGCCCCAGGGATCCACGCCTCGCTGCCCTTGGGATAAAGTCTCTGCCTCTTGGTTGGCCATTCAGGGCCCCTGGCCTGGTTCTAGCCTACCCCTTGCTCTGTGTTCCATCCCCACTGACCCAGAAATCAGCCCACACCTTACCCTCTCTGTGCCTTAGTCCAAGAAGAAACCCTGCCATGGGTTTCCGGCGTATTGTGGTTATTGCCTCCCTTTGGAGCCCTGACCACACTTCATCTCTTTCCCCAGAGATTTATGGCAGGGCTCACGGGCCCTGTCTTCACAGAGCTGAGAACTCTCGGAAGGCCCCTGGCCCCCAGCACAGAACCAGCCCACACCACAGGTCCTCAGGAAGGGATCTCTGAGACTCACGCTCTCTGGCAAAGTAAATATGATCGAAAGAACCGCTGCTAGAAGTTTGGGGCCTGAGGACACCAGGGAGAGCATAGGGCCTGAGGGATTAGGTCTTGGGGCTCCCGAGGCCCCTGGGGGAGCCTGCACTCCCTCTCCCCAGTGCTGGGCGTGCAGGGGAGGTCTGAAAGGAAGGAGACCTTTAACAGGCGGAGGCCATAGCCCTCTGGATTGTGGGCCGAGGTTGTCTTGCTCTTCTCAACTCTCCTGATAATGCGGATAAATGAAAAGAGACTGTCGAGGATGGTCGGGGTGAGGGTACCGAGCTGGGGGGAAGGGGAGGCCGCCCAGGCCGGCCCCCAGGGCTCCGCCTCATTCCAGCCCATCTCCAGGGCAGACTAAGCTCTGGGACCTGTGGGAGGTATCTGACCTTTGCCCACTTTTGTCTGTGGTTATTTTATTTTATTTTATTTTTTGCCCTGGGCTCGAGACGCCACAGCGGGCATCCCGCATTGCAGACTGCCCGTGAGGTCCACGAAGACCCGTAAGAGCCCTGAAAGCAGACTGCGCCTGGGTCCTCTCTTATAACCCAGGCTCCTGTCACTCCCCCTGCCGCCCCCCCCCCCCCGTCCCGCTCAAGTGCTGAGTGCCTACTATGAAGATGGACCAGAAGTCCTATTTTACAGGAGAATCAAAGCACGGTCCTCAAATCTCAGAAACAGAAAAAGAAACCAATACAAAGCAGGAGGTAAGGGGGCTGAACCCTGGTCCTTTGTTCTGCTTTAAAAACGTCCAACAACCCACACCTACCGCAGCTGGCCCCCAACTCCGCCCACTCACAAAGTGCAGGTCGATGAGACAGTGAAGGAGCAAATAACCCAGGAGCTTGAAACCAGGTCTGCCTGCTGCCCCTGCTGGGGACTAGTCAGGTCTCCTGACTAGTTCAGCTGGTACTCGGGTCTGAAACCACAGATGGGCTCCTCACATTGCCTTTTCTCTGCTTCTGGCCGCCCCAGTTAACACAGACAACTCCGGGTGCCCAGCTTCCTGCCACGGCCCCAGCTTGCTCCTGCTCCTCCTCGGCCCTCTCGGAGCAGAGGAGCCCCTTGCCCAGGTCTGTTCAGTTCTCTTAGAAAAGGGAAGAGCGAGGATTTGATGGGGCGTCGTGCTCCCAACAGTCACTCTCCCATTCTGGGCATAGGCAGTTTCCTAACTCTGGTGCTAAAGAAAGTTCACTGGGGCCTTGGAGAAAGTAAAAAGGACCCAGGCTGTGTGACGTCGGGGTAGCCCTTTGCCCTCTCTGAGCACGGGAGGGAAGGCCAGGAAGCTCTTGTTATCACTGCAGATCAGCAACAGGCCCTGTAACCTCAGATTACCAGCATCTGAATCTGTAAAACAGAGACAACGTCACTGCGCAGGGCCGCTGGATTGATCACACGGGGCAATGCCCGGCTGCCTCCTGGTTCCAGAACTGCTGTTCCTCACCACTCCACCCCCCAGAGTCCGGGCGCAGTGGGCCGATAACCCAGCCCCTGTTTTAGAAGTGGCGGCGATCTCAGGAAGAGCCAGCATACTTACTTGGTGGCCTGGACCCGGCTTACCCTGTACCTGCCCAGGTCCAGTGGCGAACCTGGGGCGGGGGGCAGGGCTGGAACGGCCTGGGTGTGCTTGTTGTGGGGTGGGATAAGCACAGTCATCAGGGTGACAGGCAGCTGGGAAGGTCCTGCGCCCTCACAATAGGAGGAAGGAATTCAGGAAGTGCTTCTAGCCACTCAGATGTCTTGGAGCCTCGTCCCAGGCGGGACCCAGGCCGCAGCACCCAGGGTTGGCTGGGTGGCTTCTGGGGTGGCCGCCAGGTCAGGAGGCCATGGTACCACATACAGCTGGAGCAGTTGTTCCGGGAAAGCCCAGGGTAAGTGTTCTCAGCATCTGAAGGGGAACAGCAGACATGAGCAGGCAGCACGGAGGGAGGGCCAGGGCGAGGCCAGCACAGAAGAGGGCTTCTCGGGGAACACTGACGCACAAAGGGACTTGGATGTCTTGGCCTTATCTAAACAGTACACTCCCCACCCCGGGCAGAGAAGGAGGCCAGATGAGATAGGCCCTCCCCCACAGCTGCTGCCGAAGGAAGGCTCCGAGGGCCCGTGTGGCCTTACCCAGGGCTGGCATGGTCTCCCTTCCCACCTGTCCCTGCCCCCAGCACAGACCCAGGGTCTCAGGAGGTAACAGAGAGACAGATTCGAGGATCGGCCCAAGGTCTTCCAGGGGAGGAGTCCAAGGTCATCCTAGATCCGCAGGAGGGCACGTGTTTTGTCTTTTGGCTGAGTGTACAAGCTCCCCTGAAATGTAGGCGTCACCCGCGGGCCCGGTTGGCCAGGCTCCCTGTGAGTGAAGTCTTCTGCCCCCTCCTCCAGCTCCCCCGAGTCCAGGGAGTCTTGCTCGCACATCTCTCAGGACAGCGCTTCTCCCACAGGCTCCTGGAAGTCCGGCCAGACGTAGGAAACCGTGACAGAGGTCGGAGTAGTGTCATGTGGGGCCACTAACAGCCCCGAGGGGGTGCGCCCCAGGACCTCAAATCAGTATCTTGGAAGACAGCAGGGAGCGTGGCTGGGAGAGCCGAGCAGCTATCAGCACCCAGGCCCCGTGTCCGATGGGGAGCTAAGGCTCCGAGAAGCACCCAGGTTGCTCAGCGTGTCAGCGGCTGCGAGGGGCCATGGAGACAGCAGTGCTTGGTGTGGTGGCGGTGCTGTTTGTGGTCACTGTGGCCATCACCTGCGTCCTCTGCTGCTTCAGCTGTGACTCGAGAGCCCAGGATCCCCAGGGGGGCCCTGGCCACAGCTTCACGGTGGCCACGTTTCACCAGGAAGCTTCTCTCTTCACGGGCCCGGGTCGCCATGCGCAGCCAGTGGCAGGGGCCCGGGACTTCTGGACCTTCATGTGAGGCCCGCCAGCCCCCAGGGTTTGCTCTGCTTGTGGGTCAGACTCACCCGGCCCCCAGCAAGCCCGCCCTGATGTCCCCCTCTTCCAAGTCTGGCACTGCTGCTCTTCCTTGCCTGTATCCAGACAATTCCCTGTTGCATTCTGTCCTGAGTTGCTGTGTCCTCCCACCTGGGACATCCACGGTGGTGGGACCAACTGGGAGTCATCCCTGGCCCCTGAGAGCTCAGCTGGACCTGCCCACAGGATGGGGCTTAGGAAAGGTCCGAGGAGTGGGAGACGGTACAGTTTTGGATTGCACAGCAGGCAAGCTCTTCTGATCTGCAGGGGAAGTGGGACTTACCGTAAACAGGGTTTGGTTAACTCAGGTGAACCCCAGGATGCCCACGGAGCTGGCTCTATGGCTACCAGAGGAAGCAGCGCCCTCCAGCGGACACTTTCACAAACCACCTCTCACCTGCCCCACTGACTGAGTCTTTTTGCTCTTTGAATGAGCACATGCCACAGAGCCCGGCCGGCCGTGAGGCCTGCCCCAGCCAGCTGCCCGAAATCAGCCCTGAAACTCCGAAACCAAAGGGCCACTTCCTGGGAACAAACGGTTTATTTTATAATTGAAAATGTATATCCTTTTATGGGTCTCCCAAGAGGCAGGTTTGGAAAACCACCAAAGGACACAGAAGAGAAAATCAGTCCCAGAAAGTATGGGCTATTTTATTACCAGAAAAGCCAGAAAGAAGGAGACTTTATTACTCCATTCTTTTTGGTCACTTTTATTCTCAGAGAATGGGACCGCCTTGGGTCACTCAGGATTGACAGAAAATCAGGAACTCAAAGACAATTCCAAGTGCGTCCAAATGTCACGTTGCAGGGAGAGTGTGCAACAGTGCTGTTGTTCCCGTCACAGATGAAAAAGTCTCAGATTTGTTCATGGAAGATCTGTTTTCTCTGTACCCACGAAATAAATGTTGTGCCATATTTAATAGTATAGTTTGAAGGGTACAACGTTTTGAGTCTCCTGGCTGGGATGTCTGTTCAGCCCTGAACAAATAGCTCTCCCAGGACCTGCCTGTTGAGGGTAGGACTGACCCTGAGGGGGGCTCTGGCCCCCGAGTGTGCCCAGGCAGGCCACCTTGGCCTTGTGGTTGCCACAGGAAGAACTCTTGGGGGGAGAGAGAGAGAGGGAGAGGGAGAGAGAGAGGACAACTTAGGGCTGCAGAGGGGAGAGGGTAAGGGGTCAGACAGAGTCAGGTTGATGGAGAGGAACAGAGTGGGTGAGCATGGCAGGGAGAGGCTCAGCCTGGGCTCCTGGGGACCATGCCTTGATCACGTGGGACCCATGCACATGGACGGCAGCTGGCTGCAGGGAGGACCTGGGGACCGAGTAAAGGGAACTGTTGCAGGTTGTGTTCTCTGAAAGCAAACACTGAGACAAAGTTTTGGGTGCAAGGTGTTTATAGGGATCAATGCCTGTGAGGGAAAGGAGCGGGACTGGGTAGAAGTCAAATTGTGTTGCAGACTCTTCAGATACACCACCCTTTGCTGAGTGCTGCCCCACCTCCCGCCTGCCCTTAGTTTGCCCACAGGCAAAGTAGCTCTGGGCTGAGATGGGCCCTGAGGCCCTTTCTTGAAGGGGCCCTGGGTGGTGCATCCCCACGGGAATTCAGCGGCGCCTGTTCTTTGAGGCACTCTGACCCGTCAGAGGTGGGTGAACGTGTCCAGGCACAGAGAAATACCTGGGAATGAGAGCTGCGGGTGGGCAGAGACGGAGATGCAAGATCTGGGAGGGATGAAAAGAGTGGGCCTCGGGTGCTCTCTGCCCTTTAACAGAGTCAGTCAGCTCTGCTCCAGGACAGGCACGCTGGAGGGGCCCATGCTGGGACCCCAGGTCCAGGGCTCTGGCCCTGTACTGCGTGGTCACAGCTGCAGGCCGAAACCACATGTGTCACTCTGAAAACAAAACATTGGCTGGGAGGGGCCCAGCCTTACTCTGGGGGTGACGGGCAGCCTGTCCAGCCCTGTCCCAGGAGAGCAGGGAGTTGGAGAAGGGAAGGCGGTCAGGGCCAGCACCCTGAAGCAGGCCGACAAAAAGAGGAGCAACCGGAGAAGGGAGAGGAAGGCGGGGAGCTGGTGGGGCAGAGAAGCAGGGACTAGGGTTACCAGGTCCAGCAAATCAAAATATAGGACATCCAGTCAATGTTGATCTCAGAATGGCAGCAAATAATTTTCAGTATAAATATGTCCCATGCAATATTTGGGGCATACTTACACTAAAACATTTGCTGTCTAGCTGAGATTCTAATTTAACTGGGTGTCCTATTTTTCACCTGGCAAGCATGCAAAGGAGAGAGTAGTTCCCAGAAAGGGTGGGTCAACTAGTTGAAAGCATCAATGAGGCCAGCAAAGTGCAGAGAAGGGAACTTGGACATTGCAGCATGACAGTTGACCATGAGCTTGGTGAGAACAGTTTGAGTGGAGTAAGGGAGCAATGCTACAGTGGTATGCTGGTGCATAGGGCATGTGCATGTGTGTGTGTGTGGGGGTGTGCGTGCAAGGGCAGTGGGAGCTGAGGAAGGAAAGATCACAGTTGGGAACCTGATGAACAAAACAAACACATGAGCAAAATAGAACCAGTGACGTGGAAACAAGGAACAGACTGACAGTGACAAGAGGGGAGGGGGAGGGGAATAATGGGGACAGAAGGGGAAGGTCTAGTCAAGGAACATGTGTGAGCGACCCATGGAACGTGACAACAGGGTGGGGACTGACTGTGGGTGAAGGTGTGGGGGCGTGGGGCAGAGGAGAGCAGTGGGGGCAAAATTGGGACGACTGTAGAAGGACAACAATAAAATAAAGAAAGGAGGATTGTAGCTGGAAGTAATTTGAAGGCAGGGAGAGTGATACACTGTGGCCAGAGAGGCGTGGCGCAGAGGGAGAGTTTGTTACTACTTTTTAGAAGGGAGGGAAGTCGAGCCCATGTCAGGCCCGAGGAGCACTGGAGAGAGGCACTGAGTACGCCAGCAGGGGAGACACTGTGGAGATGTCCCTGGGGCGGCCTGGGCGGTGGGGGCGGGAGGATGCTGCCGGGGGGGTGTTGGGGGCTACAGGTAAGTGCCACAGGTGTGGCCTCCAAGGGACAAGGCGGTGACTGTGTCGTGCCAGATGGCCTGTTTCCTCCGCAAAGCAGGAGCATCTGCTCTGAGGTGGGTAAGGGGGGGGTTACGGGGAGGCTGGGTCAAGGATGACGGCCCAGGGGGCGAGCAGAGAAAGTCCTGCTCTTCTCAGGTGTGTGGAGTGTGTGGGTGCGAGGCTGTGTGTGGGGGATGGGGTGTGAGTGTGGAGTATGTGTGTGATGTGTATGGTGCGCGCGCGCTGTGTGTACATGTGTGGGTGTGTGCACATGTATGTGGCGTGTGCACGTGTGGTGTGTGTGTCGGCCCAAAGTGCTCCTGCCATTCTGCCCAGTGCAGCCCGGTGTGTAACGGGGGAGGGGCTCTAGAAGGGTCCAGCCAGAGCTCCTTGTCCCCAGGAGGGGAGGTGGCTGTGCAGGGACACACACTTAGGTTGGCACCAGAATGCCAGCAAAGCCGGGAGTGTTTGTCTGGTGGCTGCGAGGAAAGGGGTTGCTCCAGGTCACCCGGGAAATGCGGGGTGGAGCCACAGTGGCCCAGGCCTCCCGGTCCCTAAATCCAGCCTCCTCTCTGTTCACTCTTCTCCTCCTACTAGTTCCTGCTTCTCGGCCTCCTACTGTGCGCCGGGCCCTGTGGCTCCCCTCGCAGGTGCTCACAGCAGCCCATCGCCCGGCAGCCGCCCACCGTGAGGTGCTGTGGGCCACGGCCTCCCGGTGCAGCTGCCCCGAGGACCTCAGGGAGCAAAGCTACACTCCTTTTCCTCCATGAGGGGGTCTGCCTCCAGCAAACCCTCAGTGGGCACGTTTTATATCTTCAGGATGAGGGGAAGGTCAGAACACTGGGGATTTGACTTGCTCTGGGCTTCCCTGCACAAAACCTCGCACACACCTGTCCCCACCCGGATCTCTGACTTTGAGGTGGAAGGCGGTCTCCGCCATGCAGAGCCTCGCCCCAGGTAACGTCTGCTGAGGGCTGGACTTCCGACTGAACAGACCTCGGCCCTGAGCCAGCGCGCAAGGCCTCCCGTGGCTTCTCACTGCAGGGACTCCCACGCCCAGTCTGGCTTCCCTCCCAGCCCCACCCCTGCTCTGTCCCGCCCCTCCCAGCCCCACCCCTGCTCTGTCCCGCCCAGCCCAGTCCTAGCCCCGCCCCACCACTAGCTCAACCCCGCCCCCGCCTCGGTTTCCCTGGATGAATAGCGCAGGTGAGAATCCTGTCTTGCCTTACCCAGAGGATGTCTGAGAGGGGGAAGATCCCTAAAACCCAGCTGTCAGGAGGGGCTCAACCCCACCCTGCTCCTTCTCTCCACCCTGCCTGTAATTAAGGTAGCGTTTCTCTCTGGCACAGGCTGGATTCTGGAGTCAGGAGGCCCTGAAATAACATGTTTTCTGGAAAAATACCTTCTTTAAAGGAAACCACTTTTTCCAAGGTGTAGAAAAGGGTCATTGTGTCTTGCCAGGACCCCACTCCCCTCAGGAAATGACACTCGAAAGGACAGGTACAGCTACACACACACACACACACACACACATTTCCTCCAGTACAAACGTTTGTGATAGTGAAGACTTAGAAGCAGCCGACACACCAGTCAGGAAGGGCTGGTCCGGCAAATCCTCGCCCAGCCATGACATTGAACACGGTCTTGAAACAATGAGGCAAATTTAAACTCATTAACACAAAAGGGCATTCAGTGTATATCCGTAAGTAGAAGTGGAGTGAATTAGAGAACTATGAATGCCCTGTAGTAAAACTGCGTTTTTGTCGAAATACACTTAGATGCACCGAGGACGCACAGAAGAAAGCAGCCCGTCCAGGTCTTAACTAGCGATCGTCTCTGGTGCGTGTGTCCAGTGTTTTCCCTTTTTGTTTATCTGTATTTTCTGTAATGAATGGTTTGCTTCTGAATAAAAAAGGCAAGGAACTAACAAAGGAAATGAGACAAAATCATTTTTTAAAATTAGAAAACAAACCAACTCCTGTCTGAGATAGAAATCCAAAAACACAGTCAAACACAGACCTGGAAATAGTGGCAGATGAAAATCTCGGGACAGAGGAGCCCCCACAGGGATGGACACATGTGTGCACACACACACCCTCTTCTGCCTCACTGTCCACGTTGGGGTGGGCTGTGGATGGGGGCGATGGCTGCTGGGTTTCCAGAGAATGCCGGCATCCAGGGGTGGGGGCGACTGCCGGGCCCGAGTGATGTGTTCGGCTGGGCGGGCGGAGTAGGGGGGTGCTCAGGGATTCGGGTCGGCCCAGCCGAACCACAGTCACTCAGGGCTTCCTGAGGCAGCGCGTGGGTCCTGCTCCCAGGTCCAGAGCTCGGGCCAGGCTGCAGAACCTGCCAAGTCAACTACCCGCCTCCCTCAGCTGTAGAGGAGACCGCAGGGCCCACGGCTGGGAGGGGATGGAAGGGGCTTCCTTGCCACCACTTGAGACTTCGAGACCAAGGCCTTCCCGGCCTTCCCACGGACCCCACTTGGGAAGCCAGGGCTGTGGTGCACCATACGGAGAGGCCCTCTGTCCTCGTCCTCGAGAACTTCTGAGTTGCAGGCTCAGCGGCTGCCCTTCGGCCCGACCCTCCCTGTGCCCTCGCCCCACCCCCACGGTCCCTGCACAGACCTCCCCATTGCAATATCCTGGGACTGGTCTCCCTGGCCTTACCTCACCACCGCCCCCTGGCCCTCAGAGGGATGTTCCTCAGACAGATCTAAACTCCCCCGAAGGCTCCTGTGTGGGCTCTGTCCCCCTTCAGACCTGGCATCTGTGGCTGGCATAATAATGGCCTCCCAAAGGTGTCCGCACCCTAATCCCCAGAACCTGCGACATATTATATGGTGAACGGGAACT